CCTAAGCAGAAGTTAGTCTGAGAACAAGCAAGATAATACAGAAGATCTATAAGATCAGTTTCCATACTGTCTCAAAAAGCTTTGGTTCCACTTGTCAAACAAGTTATAAGATGATTAAGTAAAACTTGGACATTTGCAACTTTATTTTCTATCTAAGAGAGAACAGTACAAACTGGGCTTGACAAACAAGAGAACTTAGACAGACTGTCTTTGATAGATTCTGTCTTGGACACAAGGTCTACAGTCTTGACTACATGGTATGAGACAGAATGATAATATTTCATGAAAGATTCTTTAATAATAGAAGTGGCCTGGCAGTGGCAATGTTTAGCAACTTCTGAGTTAAGCTTACAAAATTCACACACAAGTATACTCATGCACTTGACATTGTACAGATGACATGAATTAGCTGCATCAAAACTATAGTATTCTTCTCAAAGTCACAAGAGCTGATGAACTAGTTTGATGGTGGATTCTGAAACCTACAACCATATCAGAATAACAAGAAGAACAGATAAAGATGCACTTACATTATAATAGATATGGATTTGATGTTCTAAATAATGAGAACAAGATTTCTTCTTGATATTCTATAGATAAGACTTGCCTTCATTCAGGTGGTTCATAAACATTAAGTAAACACAAACAGAGCACAGAAGAGTGTCTTCTTTATTATATGCAACAGAGTCTTTTAATGATAACATCATGACAAGTTATAAAATAAATGAGAAATGATGTCTGAGCCCAAATAAAGCAGAAGAAAAGAAGAAAGAAGAGAGCCAGAAACTCTCTATTTATATCTGTTATAATGCACCAATATTGCTAGTTTCATAACTTGTTGATAAACAACATGACAACAGACAATAAATGACATAGCAATCAGACAAGCAAACAAACAAAGAAATAAGTATGTAACAAAACACTGAACTTTTGTAATAAAATAATTGCTGTTCTATAATAAAGAATATCTACTGTAACCAGCAGCAATATGCATGCAGAATGTCTATATAGACAAGCAGTGAGTAATGCAGAAGCTTACACATCCAAGAACCTACAATACTTCACCAATGATAGGGGAGCTATGATGATGTATGAAAAACCACTTTAATAGCCCTATGCCTTGAAGTCTGAGGCCTCTGGGAGAGGAATAGTATTATGAATGTAGATCTAGACCAACCAAGCATCAGATAACATCAGATGTTCAGGGGTATTCATGTGACCCCAACACTGAACATATAAGAATCATATGATTCACATAGATTATGGGAACTCCAGCATTCAGTCTCTGAGTGAGGGGACCCTTATATTTTACACATGACTCTCTCCCATCAGTTGTGGGCATCATACCTACTTAGCTCTTTTGTATCCCTAATTCTGGGAAAACCTATGTGATCTATGACCAGTTCATCTAACAAGATCAGTCATTCAATTATTCTTAAAGATGGCTGCAAACCCCTACACCTGCTAATTTATAGACTATCACCCAAGCAGACAGAGATTCTACAAGAGTATATTGAGAACAAGCTCTGCAAGAGTTGAATATATCTGTTATGAAGTTCAGCAGAGGCTCCAGTGTTGTTTGTGCTCAAGACTGATGAAGAACTCAGACTCTATGTTAATTATCATGATCTTAACACAGTTACAGTAAAGAACTGTTACCCTCTACTGTTAATAGATGAGATGTTAAGCCAGTTAGTGGGAGCACATTACTTTTCCAAGGTGGATCTACATAACATCTACTACCAGATTAAGATCAAAGAAGAAGATGAATGGAAAACCACATTTTGTATGAAGTTTGGAAGTTTTAAGTATCTTGTTATGTCTTTTAAATTGTCAAATGCACCAGCAACCTTTCAGTTCTATATCAATAAAGTGCTGGCAGGCCTGGTTAATATATGCTGTGTAGTTTATCTAGACAATATTCTTATCTTCTCAGCCTCAGAGAAGAAGCATGAAAAGCATGTTAGATTAGTTATGAAGTGTCTAAGAAAATACCAGTTGTTTGCAAAGCTTGCTAAATGTGCTTTCAAAAGACAAACAGTCTTGTATCTCAGATATATCATTGATACTGAAGGTATTAAGATGAACCCAAAGCAGGTACAGATAATCATAAAGTGGTCTTTGCCATGAAGCTTCCATAATATTCAGGTATTTCTGAGCTTCACAAACTTCTATAGAAGATTCATACATAAGTACTTAGTTATTGTAGTACTGTTGACAGATCTCTTGAAGAGCAGTAAAAATAAAAGAAAGAAAGAATCTTTTCTCCTGACATCTGCTGCCAGAGAAGTATTTTGTAAGTTGCAGATAGTCTTCTCCAGAAAGTCTATCATCCAGCACTATAATCTAGAATATAGAATATGTTTGAAGACAGACACTTCAGAACATGCTGCAGGTAAAATATTGCTACAGCTATTTGAAGATAGATGGCACCTAGTTGCCTACTGGTCATTCAAGTTTGATCAGACTCAACAAGTCTATAACATGCTGGATAGTAGAACTTCTAAATACAGATAGATTTCTCTAAGCAGTGTACATCAAGAACAAACTCTCTTATATTATTTTTGTGTCAGACAATGATCAAGTTCTGACAGAAGTGCCTGAGTGGTTGAAGAACTATAAAGATATTTTCTCAAAAGAAAAAGTAACAAAGTTACTGAAATTAATAAAGATTAGTTACTTAATTATTTTTAAAGATAATTGCAAGTCTCTATACATGTTAATCTATAAACTATCACTCAAGCAGACAGAGATTCTATAAGAGTACATCAAGAATAAGTTATACAAGAATTAGATATATTTATTATAAAGTTCAGCAGAGACTTCAGTATTGTTTGCACTCAAGACTAATAAAGAACTCAGACTCTGTATTAATTATTATAATCTTAATGCAGTTATAGTGAAGAACCATTACTCTTTGCTATTGATAGATAAGATATTAAGCTGATTGGCAGGAGCATGCTACTTTTCCAAGATAAATCTACATAATACCTACTATCAGATTAGAATCAAAGAAGAAGACAAATGAAAGATTATATTTTATATAAAGTTTGGAAGTTTTGAGTATCTTATTATATCTTTCAGATTATTAAATGTATCAGTAATCTTTCAGTTCTATACTAGTAAAGTGCTGGCAGACCTGGTTGACATATACTGTATAGTTTATCTAGATGATATTCTTATTTTTTCTGCTTTAGAGAAAGAGTACAAGAAATACATTAGATTAATTATAGAGTGTCTAAGAGAATATCAGTTGTTTACAAAGCTTGCTAAGTGCACTTTTAAAAGATAAACAATCTCATACCTCAGATATATCATTAATAACAGAGATATTAAAATGGATCTAAAGCAGATACAGATAATTATAAAGTAGCTCTTGCCATAAAGTTTTTATAATATTCAGATATTTCTGGGTTTTGCAAACTTCTATTAAAGATTTATACAAAAGTACTCAGTTATTGTAGTGCAGTTAACAGATCTCTTGAAAGACAGTAAAAATAAGTAAAAGAAGAAATTATTTCTTCTGACATTTATTATCAGAAAAGCATTTCACACATTAAAAGCAGTCTTCTCTGAAGAATCTGTTATCCATCACTATAATTCAGAAGATAAAATACATCTAGAAACAGATACTTCAGAATATACTGCAGACATAATATTACTACAGCTATTCAACAACAGATAGCATTTAGTTATCTACTGATTATTTAAGTTTGACCAGATCCAATAAATCTATAGTATATTAGATAAGAAGATGTTAACTATTATCTGAGTGTTTATTTATTAACAGCAGTACTTAAAAGAAATGAAGTATTCTGTAAAAATTAGTACAGATCATACAAATCTTCATTTATTTATAAAGTTCATAAACAAGATGGCACAACAACAATATATAAGATAAATAGAGATTCTCAGAATATACAACTTTGAGATTCTCTACTGTTCTGAAAAGCATAATTCAGCTGACACATTATCACAAAGACCAGATTATATCAAACTAGAAGAAGACATTGGTTTGCTGATGTGTACACTTAAATAATATTATATAGATAGTGTTCTAGAGTGATATTCATTCAAAGAAACCTCTTTTTAATGAAGAAAATATTCAAGTATGTGCTACTGATGCTGTCTAAAGCAGTAAAGTAGAGATAGTACAGAGAAAATCTGATGACATCAAGATAGTTAAGTTAGTTTAGAAAGCACAAGCCAGAGATGCTAGAAAGACTTAATAAAGAAATTATAGAATATTCTAAATTTCTCATATGCACACAAACATAGTAATGAAAGATAAAAAAATCTATAATAAATTAACTGTGAGTGTGTTGAATCTGCTGCTAGAGAAACAGAAAGACAATTTCTTCATATAAGTAAGATTTATCAAGACAAAATCTCAGTAATCAAAGTAAAAAACAGATAAATAAGATCTTTTAATAAAGAGCAGCAGAATCTACATTTCTAATAATTTAGCTCTAAGACAGAAACTACTACAAGTCTATTATGATAACTTATTTACAGATTACTTTAATGTGGTAAAGATATTTGTCTTGCTTCAGCAAAAATATAATTAGTAATTAATAAGACAAGATGTTCAGATGTACATACATAAATATCAAATCTCCTAACAAGAGAAGACTCTAACACACAAATTATATAAGCTGCTTGCATTATTGTCAACATCTAGTAATTTCTGATATTCAATATTTATAGACTTTATAATAGATCTCTCTTCAAATAAAGAGAAGAGAAATTCATACAATACAGTTCTGATTATTGTAGATTAATTTACATATTAACAATTTGGATTTACCTATCTCCTGCCTTCTTAGGCGGCCCCTGATGCCTTTTTCGGCAGCCCGCTGGTAACACGTGATCTTGCTCTTCTGCCACGGCCCACTACTGTTACAACCACCATGCACTCCGAACACCAGTTTGGGCTCCACAAGATTCTGTGTGTCAACATCATCACCCATCATCGATCACCCAGCTCACCCACCACCCGTCTAGTGTTTCATAATGGTGCTGAAAATGGCTCCATGTGCAGCCCCTGACTCACCTAGGCCGCAGGCCAAGTGCCTTGTTCCTGGTCATGGCTCTCTCATGAATATCTACCTTAGATACCTGTTGGCCTCAGAGAAGCCTGAAGCCAGAACAGAAGCCCTCCCCTTTCCTTCACCTCCATCTCTAGTCCCTCAGCACCCCCCTACTCCTTCACCTTTGCTAGAGCGCAGTGGCTGTCTCTGTTGCTCCAACTCACAATCTGGCTCTGTGGCGGGTCCTGAGCAACCATGAAGCGCTCCCATGACCATTGAGGTCCTGTCTGCTGCAGTGGCCGTAACCAAGTGTCTGATAGCAAGTCAGAATATACTGATTCCAGCAGCTCTTCGGAAGCCACTGTTGAAACCGACCCCATGGAGTCTGATGGCCCTGAACAACCAGCAAAACATAGCTGGACCAGAGTTAGCTACCCCATCCCCAGCCAGTTGCTGAGGGATGATGGAGGTGATTTCAGTGATGATCCCCTTGATGACACCGGGTTGGACCTGTCAGCCATACCTGAGGATTTTGACAAGGCACACAGGACACTTTCCCGATGAGGTCGCATGGAAGAGCGCTGGCGGCGGTGGGCAACCTCCCTTCACCGATCTTTCTGATGTCTTTGCTAATGATGACGAACAGGTACTGTAAAGCCAAATTACGGGAGTGGTGAGCAGATGACAAGTGGCGTGACCCTAAACATGCTCTCTGTGAAGCATCAGACAATGACATCCATTGGTTTTTGGGCTGGTGTCTCAAACTCCAGCGAGGGAAAGACTGTTGTCACCTAAAGGGAACCAAGAAAGCAAGCTCATTCAAATCTGACTGGCGGAGCTTCCGCCAGTACTATAAGAAGGTCACCAAGAGCAAGATGCATGATGAAGACAGTACTAATGTGTGGTGGGTAAGTTCACTTAATACCTTGTATGCTCCGATGAGAGTTACCTACTTACAAAACCAAAACATAGGGTATCAAATTCTTGATTATGGAGCACGGCCTGGACATGCAGAAAGGCAGGAAAGTTCCGGTGTACATTGAGGACATGGTTCCATTCAATGAGACCATCCTGTCAACTCAGGAGAAAAAATTCTGGCTTGGGTTCGAGCGGATCCAAGTCTGCCTGTACAATACTTTAGGACTCTTCACCATACATCGGAAGAATGCCCTTCTGAGCTTGCAGTATAAGGACCTCCAGTTCTCCCTCCAGAAGGACCCCAAGGGAGGCCCTCCAATACCACTTGTGGAATTGACAGCGGAGGGAGTTAAAAAGTTTATGGGATCAACAGATTTGTATGTCTACTTCCGAGCCGAGTTTGGTTTGATAACTTGCCTCCCTCGCCCCTTGCCACAAAGTTCGACTGGCAACGCTGCTAACTGCAGCCAGGATAACGTTTCCACTGCCTGAAGTGATTTATGGGCCATTGTTAGTCTTCTGCCCACATACATACCTCTTTGGGATGATGTTCCATGCCAAGGCATTCCAACATCCTGGACTGACGTCCATGGCACAGCTGCGGAAGTTATTTGTGAGGCGAGGTTGTCAGCAAATGCCCTTGTGCTTGAAACATGAGACTGCTGATTGGTACATATTCTGCGAAACTGAGTTGGTCAAGGGAACTCCTGTTATCCAGTGTAAAAAGCCAATGCCCAAGCAGAAGATGGGTCGCCTTCTGGTAGTTTTCAGTGAGATCCATGGCTGGCTTCACCCCCTTTTCTCACATCAATTCCGCTATGGAGGTGGCAAGATTCTCAATGAGAGTGGTATTTTATCCTCCCCTTGTCTGCTGATCACATGTCTTGATGGAGGGCTGTTTGACTGACCATATTCGTAGGATGGGTCAGTGAAGAACAATGGATGCTAATTATGAAACATGCGGACTGTTGCATGTTTGTTGAACACTATCATTCTTGAACTGTTGGCACTGACATGATCCGGACCATCTGTGGCCTTGATCCAGAGAAGGAACTCATGCGAGCTGTCGCCCGGCAGGACCGATGGAGGGATTGATGTTGACCGCGCTATCTCACTGCGGAAGAAAAGAAGAGTGTTGAATCCGACCCTGAGCTTGTGGTGGCAATCCACAAATTAGATACTCTTAAGGCTGAATTTGGCTGCACTAGGAATCCTAGTCTCCCTGCTTGTATCCACCTGCAAGTGCGGGAGGTCATGAATACCTGGGAATGACTGCTCAGGGCTCTGCGGAAAAAGATGTGACTGGAATTTGATGAAAAGCAGGCTTTTCTTGACATTGAGGCACAGCTTTTGGGAAATGTGGTTGAGGATAGTGAAGAGGAGCCACCGTCGGAGGACACCTTGCATTCAATTCTGTACAAGCTCCTCCAAAAGCTTCTCTTGTATCCTGTGTCAGATTGCCTGGAAGCAGAATGGCAACGCCGCAATGAAGCTGTTGATTTTGTGGTCCTCTATTGTGATGTTCTTGAAGGCGGCCCTTGTCGCGGACGCCCGAAGAAAACACAGTGACTCATGGGAAGTGGTGGGCCAGACGGTGACTCCAATTCAAAGGATGTTTATATGATTAGAAAACAACCCTTGACTTTTGATGAGCTCTTGCGCCTCACTGCTGAACACATTGAAAAAGCTCTGAAACCACGTGCATGTTTTCAGTGCTTTGCTGACAGAAAGCAACCGGATGAGGTTCATTGCCGGATGTTTTATGATTCAGGGTGTCTTACCTGACACTTTGACAGCCATCATCTAGAGGACGAGCAATGCAACTGGTGTGAGCTTTCTGTATTACATACAATGCATCTGCAGCGCCATGCCAAGGATGTTCATCGCACGCATTCTCGCCTTCGTCCACCGTTGTGATTTCGGTTCTTAGTGATGACAATTATCTTATTGAGAGTTTTCGCCTAAGGCTGCTCAAAAGTGGTTGCTTGCATACAATAGAGTCTCATATATTAGACCGGAAATTGGCGGGAGATAGTGATTGTAATAGAACTCAAGACGCTCTAAGAAAATTAGTATCTTCCTAACACCAGAAGCCAAGTGCATCTAGGAATGCAAGTTGGTTGAAATAAAGAATGACTATTCTTCGGAAGCTCGAATTATCAGAATCATACCAATCAAACCCGTCGTTTTCTTCCTCTGTTAGCATATCGCTATCATCTTGCGTCACCCTTTTCGCGTCCTCCTCCTTTTCCCATTTGTCTAAACCCGCCTCTCGTTTTGCAAACAACGCTCCCCGTATGCCGCCCGGATGACAGACCATGTCCTCCACTTGAAAGTCCTGAGTGATACAAGAGAAAGAGAACTGCATTAAAAATTCTGGCGCCATCTTTCATCTCATCGTTGGATTTCCCAAATAGCAGTAGCTTGCCCTCCTTTCGCTGTTTCATCGTCATTCTTCTAGCTTTCGTTTGCTGCATGGCTTCATTAGAAAGGAACGAAAACTCGGCCATTTCTGGTTCGAAACCTGTCTCTGAGGTTTTGTTTTCCCACGCAGCGAAAGCCTCGATGCTCGAATTGAATTCTTTCTGCCACATACAAGAATCTCAAGGTTAAGTTTACCTGAATTCTGCACGTATTGAAGGCATGCCATGAGCTGCCTTTGGTTACCCATAGGAATCTGTCCGTTAAGAGTCATGAGATCCGTGTCCTTTTTGAAACGAAGTCCGATATCGTTGTCCGACTCGGTTTCTAGAATCTTCACTAGCTTCGCCCATGATGGGGTGTGAGTTTCAGGATCAATAACATCAGATATTTGGATAATATCCTGCTTGGAAACATCATCAGCCCTTTTGAAATGGGCTACTATATCATTGAATGGACTTTGAATCTCGTTTTTCGTAGCCCATTCGCCGTCGCGAGAGAGGGCCATGTTACTATCCGGCCCGGATAGTGTGGCCGCTGGTAAGGAACTGGCGGACCTGGGTAGGACACACATGGGTTCGAGGATTTCTAGTGAGCCGTGTACATTTTCTGCGCGTTTGTTGAATTGCGGGGGCATTGGCTCCAGACAAGTTTGCGAGCTTAGCAGAGCACCAGATACGACCGGAATAGTGCTACGTTCGGTTAGACCGGAAAGCGATACGCCACAGGTAGAGTCCGGTGGAACCTGTCGCCGTGGACCTCCCAGTCGATGAATCGGCTCTTGACGGATCGTAGCCTCCATCACCTGAGTCAACTTAAGCACCAGTGTTTTATATGTAGCGTATACCTGGGGGCTGGAAGTCGGCGGGGGAATCCAGGACAGGTAAAGCTTCTGATGGCAAGCGGAAGTGCTCATTGATTGCGGATAAACTGCAAGGAACCTATCGCATAAGTAGCAAGATTTTTTGCTCACTCCGATAAATCGGAAAGATGGCCGGTGCTCTGGATGAAGGTCATAAAAGGCCGCTAATTGTAACTCGGCATGAACCGCAAGGGCGTCGGGGCATTGTTGGTGGAAGGATTGTTCGGGATCAGATCCTGCCCAGATGCCAGCAAGACGAGAAAGGTATTGGTCTGCAGTGGCCCCGGCTATCCGTCGTAGAGTACGGGACAGAGATACCTGCTGCCGCTGAACGGGTATCTTACCAGGTGCGGTGACAGCGTGCACTGTCATAGGGTTAAAGAGGTGGGGTGCCTCAGCTGCAAGCTGGCTTAGAGCTTTCGATGCAACTCCATAGCGCCCTAGCTTGAAGACTGATGAGGACCATTTTTGCCAGTGGAAGCCCTCCATGGAGAATAAGGCTTTCAGAGGCTCCAAGTAGTTATGCCTGGCGTTCTGAGCTAGCTTGAGATATCGAATTATAATCTCGGTTTCCGGGGTCGCCTCTAGCCCATCCATCTGTAACATGCTGCCGAGCCATTCAAGGAATGCCTCCATAGCAGATTGAGATAGATCCGGGATAATCTTGAGAACCTGTTCTTGGATTTTGAGGCGTGAATGAGGGAGCACAGTTTGATGGCTGCGAATATAATTAACGTATTCCCGAAGGCGCGAGATGTCCAAATGAACGATCTTGGATAAAATATCGGCTTCTTTCTCTCTCGCTGATTCTGATAAACTCCGGAATTAGTACTGCCTGACATCATCAAAAGAAAAGGAAATAATTCACCTCCGCATGCGATTTGATTTAGATCGTTAACAATTAGCTGCAATTGAGCCAAAACTGCAGGCTTCACCCCACAGTTGCTTGCGAGCCGTACGACCGTACCCTCCGGCTGCCCTTCTTCCATGCACGCTGCCGATACAGAGTCGCCACCTTTCGAAGGAGCGCATAGCAAAGCGAAAGAATCTAAAAATTTCCGTTTGAGAAAGCGTTCTCTTTCTTGCAAAGCTCCATCAATCTCGAGGCCATGAGTCGTGGGTTCCCCACGGACGGGGTCTAAGGCGTGTAGCAAGGTCGCGGCTTCCAGAAACCGATTCCGTAGTCGACCGGTAATCACCAACGAATCCATTATTGGGTCGGAATGGGCTCACGGTGAGCAAGTAGGGTTCGAACTGCGTTAGAGGTATCTGATCAAATATTTCACTTGTCTTGATGTCGAAATATCCATGAGGCAAGGAGGAATCTCATTCTCGACACGAGTCTTCAGGTGAAGAAATAAGAACCCAGTGAACCCTTTGAATTGGTTAAAAACCGGCAAACAGCTATCTTGCTCAACCAATCATGCTTCACGGACCGTTAACATCATGGTATATTGGTACAGCAGCCGCCCGATTAGCTCTGCATTTCGCACTCCGATACCCACGTCAAGCCTACTAGAAGGGGCTGGCAGATGAGCTCTTCCCCACCATGGATGGATGCAGTCCCGGATAGGCCTATCAGAACCCCAAGAGTGCGCCCGAGGCCAAGAGATAACTGAATTTCCTATGTACGTCTATTCATCGGAAATAGGTGGAATGATCGACCAAGTCTTCTTTGGTCGTGTGCTACCAGATTAGTGAAGAGAGGGAGTCGTAAGGGGAGTTAAATGCATTGTCATCAATATAATGTCGCTATAAAGCAACCTCCGCCTAAGCTAATAGCGTATTTCGTCGACCGACATATGTTTTTGCCCGAGGATATAGTCCCAAAGCCGCGTTTCGACCAAGAAATCGAGCGTTTAGAATCTGAAAAAGCAGTCAGGGCCTCTCAATATCCAACTATCTCTCAACTCTATGATCTCCGCAATCAAAAAAGGGCATTGGAATTTGAGCTTTTCGATAAAGACGATCGATTACTTGGAGAGGAATATGACGAGGATTTGGCTAAGCAACTGAAAACGAAGCTTGAAAATCTTATGGGACAAATTGACTCCCTCCGGAACCGATCTGAAATAGAGGCGATCAAGGCTCGGGAACGTGAAATAGAAGTATGGAATCGTAAAAGAGGCCTCAACTGCCTTTCGAAGGAGATGCCAAGGGGTGCCTTACGCGAGCCAACCATTTTGATAAGTTCGCCTTCTCATCGCATCTGTGATGATTGTTCGTTGTTCAAAAACAACGTCAACCGCTTTTTTGGTCTTTCGATTCAGCTTTATGAGTGTACTATGTGAGATTTGGTCGACTTATTGCTTCTGATTTGCGAGGTTTATTTAAAGCATTGAAGTATGAATCAGGTTTTGTAATTGCTCTAAAGTCGTAGGCGAGCTCCTGTCAGAGGAAAGTAGCCTATTCACAACCATACGCGGTCCCGGTAGGGCGTAGCACTTGAAATTAGTAAGTAATGAAGTAGCAGAATACTGCCTAAAAGACGGGAAGGAACATATGAGACTCTATAATGGCGGCTGGCTTCGAATTGCCTTGGGGTTTGATGTTTGGCTGTTTGGAACGGAAAGAAGGTTTCTATCACGTGAAATACACGGCCCGATCATGTTCCCGCTCTATGAAGAAAGGTTCCAACAGAACCATTCTTTTCAGCCTCACATAAAACCTCGCTTGCCTAGGGTGCTACCACCATGATCAACTGTATATAAACCCCGCCAGGCAGGAGTCGCGGTTTCGAAATTTGACAACTCCATCATTCGGTACGAAACTGGAAGAAAATATCTGCACAAAGCTTTGGCTGAATTGGCGGATATACTTCAGTGCCATTGCTTGAAACCAAGTAGCTACTGCTGCGCCTGAAAGCATGCCTGTTGCTATCAAGAAGAATACAATTTGGAATACTATACTGATATAGAGACCATAACTGGAGGGGGTGGGAATGTTCTGTTGCTTGGTCTGTCTCCATGTTTTCTTCCTATGACCAAGAGTGGTGGTTTCGCATTGCATCAACATAGAGAATACCAGATCATGATTGAGGGCAAGGAGAGGAAAGAAGAGCCACGCATGTCAGCCAACATTGAGAAGCTCATGAGCATCCTCCCCTGAAGGTGTGGCAGCCAATGAATGGACCAAATGATGCGGAGTTGTCTGCAAAATGAAAACTCTGTGTCACAAACTCCCTGTCCGGTAACCGAGCAGCCCTGTCTAGTGTGTGAGAAATCACTAGTCATACAGGAGCCTCCAAGGGTGGTTAGGCCTTGAGGTCAACTCTAGGCTTTGAGGGCCACATATACTAGGTCACTAGTTCCACTAAGGCTTTGATCAGCTAGGAGCAATGGGTCCCTTGGGCAATGGTAGGGAGGGCCGGGGGCCGGGCACAAGGACAAGTGAGATGCAATGTGCTAATAGTATAGGAGCTGCAGGAGGTCGCGTGTATACTAAGGAATAGTATTGCTAAGGTACTGGTGAACTGATAACAAAAAAGGTAGGTGTGCTACTGATAATGAAAGTGTTTGCGAAGCTCAGAACAAGACCTCTGATCTTGCCAGGTAATGAGCGTCCTTTTATATACATCCGGGGGGGGGGTCCTTCCTCAAGGCCGCCCCTCCGAGTCCCATAGGGACTCTGCCTCGTGGAGGTCCATTCGGACCTGTGGTCCTGGAGGTCCTTCGTGGACTCCCTCGCGCCAAGCCTTCTACGGACCTTTCTTTGGTCACGTGACTCGTGGTCCCGCGATGCTTAGATGGTGTTGGTTGGTCCGCCCGCCAATCAAGGTCCTTATCGCTCGGCTGCGCCGCCAGGTCCGTAACACTTTGGTCATATTTGACAAGCAAGGCTGTGTTTTGCTCCAATCGACCTTCGCAAGGCATCTTTAGCCTTGGCGGAATACCAGGAATTGGAGATGGGGCTGAAGACACTTGAGAGTTCGTACCATGAGGCTGAAAGGGGCGGGGGGATTTCCCTTTTTGACGTACAAAATCCTCAGAAAACTCGGCGGCAGGTAGCACTCCTAACCATCTTCAAGCTCGACAGGCGAAGCTCAAAACAAAATACCAGTTTCAAAGGACGATGTCGGGATTTGAAATTGTTGGTATAATTGCAGGCGCCAGCCAACTTGTTGACCTTGGGACCCGCTTATCATGCAAGCTCGTTCGCTGCTATTTGGGGGCTAAATCCTCAGATACCTATCTTCAGCATCTTGCAAATGACGTCGCTTTAACATCTAGTATACTCGCCGACTTGAAAGAAAATTTCGGAGACAGCGAACATGCTCAACTATATTCCCCCATGGCACTCAAGGCAGCAGAAGAGACTGTTGCTGAGTGTACAGCTGTATTTAAAGAAATTGAGAGAAAAAGTGACCACGCGGGTTTGAAACACAAAATGACCCGGTGGCAGAGAGCAAAAAGAGGATTCAGCATCATGAGACAAGAGTCGGATTTGAGTGCCCTCGGTAACAGGCTACATGACCTGAAGTTAAATATGATCCTCTTAGTTCAGACGTCCATATCTGCCGCACAACACAGACGGTTAGTACAGCTATCCATTTTATTTGAGCAATAATAACGTCTTGACAGTCATTGTGAACAAAGTATATTGAAGGATGGCCGTGATCTTCTCAGAGCTGTGCTAGACGAAATGGAAAGCAGCAAGGCAGGATTCAACTCCCCGGGTTTAAATCTTCAATCATCGCAAGCTGGTAGATCGGCCGAGGCCTCGGGGTTAAAGGGCCGTTTACCGTTCAAGCTTCGAAGCTACTATGACTTGATGAAAGGTATATTGGAAGCTATCGACAGCGCAAGGGATTTACGGGACCGAGCCCGTCAACACCGGCTGCGTAATGGAGTTTTGAAAATCCATGCTATTGAAGCCAAATTGTTTCGGCAGAAGTATGGAATCTGGACCAGGAAAGTTTTTGCCGGTCATCTTTTCCAAAGGTTTGAAGCAATTGCTTGATCTAGCCACTGGAATCAAAATCTAATGTTAGGAGTAGGAAACGAAAGCGGATGGGGACAAAGTGTCTAAGGGCTGTCAGAGTGGTTCATCATCTTGATGCAATTGGACCTATTGAGGCGCGCGACAGTACTTACAGCTCAGATATAGAGGAACCTCCCGAAACAGCGGATATAGCTTTGAGTGGAGTGGAACGCTTACTACTAGAGTGGACAACATTGACATTGGAGGAAATACAGCAGAAACAGAGCTTGGATTAGGTAAACCCAGATTATATATGAGGCCGGCTGTCTTCCATTGTATATTCTAAATTAAGTAGTTGTGGTTTCGCCGTTGTACTTGAAAATTTGGCTTGGAAACATGGACGCGGAGCATAGCCTTCTTTTCCCCAAACGGAAGAAATTTGGCCTTTTTCTCAAAACGAGTGATTGGAACTCTTAAGCATTTCCAGGGCTAAAAGGACCATCTCATCTTCCTCCTCCTCCTTCCACTGCGTTCCATTTCGTTTGTCCTTGTCATGCTAGACAATTCTAGCTTCATAAAAGCTGAAGAGCCAGACGAGATCTGAGTTCTTGGCGCCGTTGAACAAGAAAGGCATGAATGGAAGCTCCGCTCCATTCAGTCCGACATAAGAAGGGAATATAAAAACTAAAAAGACAAGAAGAACCATAGACAGGATGGGTAGCTTGCTTTGTTAGAGAGTAACATGTTGAAACCCACCCACAAACGGATTGACCTTTCTCCGACAATGCTCAGAAAGCAGCGTACTGTTTCCGCTGGCAAGCCTGATCATAGATTGGGTGCCACCGGTACACCAAGAACTGGGATAGCAAGACTTGCAAGGAAATAGAGGAAGTGGCTGAAATCTATAAATTGCCAGAATCATCAATAAGGTCTATGCCAAACAGTGGAAGCAAAGGCTCAACCCCCTGGATAACTCGACCGCCCTCTTCAACGGCTCCACCGATTAAGCCAGCTTGTCTTTCCCGCCCCAGATGTTGTATGGATGCTCCGCGTGGTATATTCCCGGGAATGGGTCCTCAAACTGGGGCGGCACCATGATAAACGCCACCCGAAGGATCCAGCGACGTGCAGCCCAAACTATCACGGGAGCATGCCAGGCAACCGGAAGCAGTGGACATAGAGGCGCAGTAGTCCTTCAGGAAATGGTATGGTACTGTGTATGACTCTGCGTTTCTCCCAGCAAAAAGATAGCAACAGCGATCCCGGTATGGCCTACGCTTGAATTAGCAAGTAATGAAGTGGCGGAATACCGCTCAAAAGGCAAGATTGAACCTACGAAACCTCAGGCAAAGCACCGTTGCCACTACTTTCATTCATACTGACGGAATTTGAGGCTTCATGAAGCCGTTCTTTCTTGATCTTGCTTCTCTTTTTTCCCACTGCAGAGTCGGCACGGTGTATTGAAAGCCAAACAGCGGGGGCCGGGGAGGGAGAAGATATGCCTAATTTAAATGGGGGGCAAAGAGAACTTCAGCGAGTGGGATCTCCAGGCTTGCTTCGTGGTCAAATACAAATGGTTAATGCGTGCAATCCGGGATATTTAAAAGATAGGAAGGTGGTCTGTTTGGGTGGATAAACATCCCCCCCAGTTGGCGCCTTTTCCTGTTGCCGCAGCCTCGCATGCATTATCCTAAACTCCCTTGGCGAAGGTCCGATCCCTCAAAATTATCGCTTTTGTCCATCTGCATGAGGGAAGACATGTGTCGAGTCTGTATCCACTGATTCTGCTTCTCATTGAGAAAATGCCTGCATTGGTGTTCTTCTCATCATCGCATCAATTGAGTCATTGCCGAGGCCTCGTATGCGATGCAGGCTAACCAACGAATTGACGATGACACTACGGGATCATCTGCGCAAAAGCATGACCAATCGGAAAAGCAAGGGATTCGGCTTTCGTTTGAAGGGGAGGGGGTTCGATAAGAATGCAATGCCATTTTAACAGGATCCGTGATTCAGAGTGTATCATCTCCCAGATATATATTGATGTGGGGTCTCGCGATAGCGAAATTCTCGCACTATCAAACACGCGAGTTCCAAAAAATTACTACAATGGCGAACAACCAGTCTCTTTTAAGTTACCTGATGGTGGCACCTCCCGGGCTTCCCACATTCAACACGAGCAAATCGCCCAACACAACGAACCCCAACTACGGTTGGGGGGACATCATCAGCGTTGGCGACTGGCCTGAATTCTCTTACGCTCATATCACACACCACTATGGGAACTTGCTTCAGCAAACGCAAATTGCAAGTGAACCGATGCCAACTTCCCCTCCGCAGGCGATAAGCACCGAACCAATGTTCGCAATGCGTTTCAACACCTACATCCAGAGCCGAGTGCGTCGTGCGCTGCGAGCTGGATTCCAGCATCTTGCACCTCAACTCGCAAGCCTCCATCTTTCTCCGGTAACGGTTGATATTGGTGATGCGGCAGCTATCATTGACAACTACCGGCCCGACATTGCATTTTATACAGCAAATTCCTCGCCGAACCGCTGCCCTGGTGATCTAAAAGTATCATGGAAGTGGGAATCCAGCTATCGAACCTCACAGATACCAGCAGAGCGAAGGGAGTATCTGCAGGTCCTCTCTCAGGTTAATTATTACATGGAACAACATGATGCGAGGTACGGTTATGTCTTCTCTGACACTGAATTGGTACCTATTAAAAGGCTAGAGGCGAGAGGGAATCTACTGGTTGCACGTGCTATACCATGGGAAGCCGAGGGACCTGAACGTCTAACAGTTCTCCTGGGACTGTGGTACCTTGGGATGTTAAGTGCAGCAGATGATGACTGGCAGCTTTTGTAATCTTATAATTTTCGGCGTCTCCTCAGAAGTAATTTTCTAGTAGAACTTGGTATTGGGTGGGAGGCCTTTTTTCTGGTCTTCTTCCTGTGGAGGTCATTAGTATTCCTGAATAAACATCGGGGTAGCAAGACAACACACAAGCAATTGCCCGAAACTTTCAACAACAGCAGTTTCAAACTCGATCCGCTGGTGTTCCTTCCCTCCAATTGAGCCGTTTTCGGGGAGAACAATCGCGGTATCAAAGTCAATCCACACAACTCTCTCGGGATCACCGGGAACGATCATAATGTTCTTTGGATAAGGATCATTGTGCTCAACTCGGGCGGAGTGAATTCGCTGGAGGCCAATAACTGCTTTCTGTAATCTCTCTGGGGTGTAAGTGACGCAGTCCAATAGCTGAGGCCTCGACAGATACTCGATCAGAACGGCACAGGGAGGGTTGACATCTTGTTGAAATGCATCAAGATGAGGGGCACAGTTCGCCGGGTTGATATCTACCGCAAACCCGTAAAATTGCGGAACGAAACCAGTATCACATATTCCGAACTGTTTGAGGCGGCAATAGGCTCGAATTTCACACCGAGAGCGGTTTAAATCACGAATACGGTCAGAGGCATACCCAGGATCTCTGTTATTATGGAACTACGTCCGTATCCCCATTAGCAAAGACAAACGTTGTGGTTGAGAAGAGGGCACATACGACTTTCAGGACTCGGGCCTTGCCATAGTAGTTGATATGAAATATTGACGATGCCTCTGAGCTTCTCAGGGTTTTGACGAACTCCACCTTTTCAAAATCAATGTTGATCTTGAGGCTGTCATCAAATCCTCTCTCATCACGGTAGATAGTATCGGCCTTCCTGATAGATCCAACACAAGTCTTTGGCATGGATATTAGGGTGCTGATAGCAAGCGGACTGAAAATGTTGAAGCATCTGGTGAACGTTTGTACAGCTAAACACGCGAAGCAAGGCAAGGATGAATGTCACGACCAGAGACCAGCTGGTCCCGCCAGCCTTTCGCATCAAACTCCAGCATCACGTGATAATTCATATTTATGGTTAACGTGGTTCATCACCCAACAAGCACCACCACCCCAAACACCCTTTTTACCACCCTAGAAATCTACAAATTCAACGAATGTCACCACCACGAATCGAAATTGTATATTATTAGCTATAAAATATTAAAAGAGCGTATTCTAAAGAGTATAGAAATCAGTATGATGAGAAAAACAAGCGATGGTTTGGCTTAATAGAGCGACCAGATCGGCTAGCCTTGGTGTTTAGTAGGAAAGTAGGTAAAGGAGCGTGGGACTGGGGGTGAGAGCTTGAAGCTGTCAAATTACCGAAAGGGGAGGTTTGTATAGGGGGTAGGAGGTTTAGTTTTACTATTAGGAACGGGCTTCCGCTGTCGCTTCGGGGGGTGGGGGGATAGTTCCGCAGCGGCCCTCAGCTCTTGCAGCCTTCCGCTCTGCTAGGGTGACTGTCTTTTGATCCTTTTGGACAGCGCGTCGGAGCTCGAATCCTTCGACTTGCGCGGCCTTTTGCTGCTTTTGGGCGTCTAATTCGTCAGCGCGTTCGCGAGCAGCCTGGATCCTAGCAGGCGAAAAGAATTGAGCTTGACCCGCATGTTCCTTATTGAGTAGACCTAGGGGCTTTCCATGTTTGCGCCTCCTTTGTTCAGTCTTAACAGTCTCCTTTAGGAAGGCATTTTCGTGCTTCAAAAGGTTGTTTTCATCTAGTAGTTGCTCGCCGGCGCGTATAAAACTTTCAACATTACGACGAAGAAGCGATTGACGAAGCCGAGCTGCCCTCACCTGGCGGCGGAATCCTCGAGCAGTAGTGGGAGCAGCAGGCCTAGTAGGGGCCTCGGGGGGTGTAATAGGCCGGTCTTCTTCTTCTTTGAAGAGGTCTCACACGCGGTCAGGATTAAATGGATGAATCCCCATGGCTCAAAAGGCAAACCTAATATTCTCTTTTGTAAGAGCTTTTTGCCAGGCGACATAGAAGAGCTTCCAGAAATCGCGTTTAGTCAGTCTTAAATAGCCGTATCCTTTGCGTAGGTGATCTTCCACCTCTTTTGAATACGCAGTTGCCGGCGGACTAAATACCGCTACGTCAAGAGGCTGCAAACGGTGTGTTGAATGCGTTGGAAGGACTGCAACTAGGACCTTGCTCTCAAGTGCGTAATTGAGGAATTTCATACTGATGTGAGACGAATGGCCATCAAGGATCAGGAGCCTGTATGCATCGCGTTTCAGTTTTGTATGGCGGTCGAATATATGCTCTAGCCAATATAAACAGTAGGAATCACTGCTCCAACTGTTGGGCGACACTGCAAAATAGGCAGTTTGCCCGTCAGGCTTAAATTCATCAAAACAGACGTCCTGGAGATCACGTTCTCCTTTAAATATTAGTGCTGGGGGGGGGGGGGGGGGGGGGAATTTCCAGTTGAACTGATCTCTGCGATCAAAGAGATAAACTCCCCGTTTCCATCCTGCCTTTTTGCTGATTTCTTCGATTTCAAAGCATTAGAGAGACAATTCGCTTCGTACACTGAGTAAAACTGATCACAAAGCCTTCCTCATCGCAGTTGTATATATTTGATGGCTTGATGTCGTATTTTTCAATCAGTTCGTTGAGCTAGAGGGTAGGACGCTGGTAGTAGCAAGGCCGCGATCAGAGAGGTCTTCCAACTGCCGGAGAAGCTGTTTTTCTTGCGCGGCGGTGAGCTTTTTGTGGAATCGGGAGGTAGCTTCGGCTTTTGAGACTGCGAGGCCTAGATGACGGCGCCACATTGTAATTCGGTTAATTTGGTGCTTTCTAGCGATTGTACTGTAATTTGGATCCTTTGTTCCATGTAGACCTTGAAGCGCTATCTTCATAGGCCTTTCGTTGACCATTGCGTTGGGATTGTATCCAAAACCACGCAATTGCCCTCGATGCATGCTTTTAGCCCAATCACCCTGCGAGTGTCAGGCCCTCGCCAGGCTCCATGCATCCCGTGTTGTTGCATGCCCTGACAGGTAGCACGATGCCCCAGTGGCTGGGAAGAATGGCCTTCGGTGGTTTGTGTGGTCGCGCGGATTTGCCCTTCAGAGGCCTTCTCCTTTCCAAGCCTAGAATCACTTCTTCGAGCTGTCTCACTGTCGCTTCGGATTTCTCTATGGATGCTTTCAACCTGCCACCGCCGCCGTACCACTGTCTTAAACGTTGAAGTTCAAATTCCCTCCTTCGGCATTTAGTCGCAATTTTGATGCAGAGTGTACACGGATCTTGAATAACCTCAGTGTGGCCAACGAGTTTCAACCCACAGGTTTCACCGACTCGATGTTGATAGGTACACCGAATGGAGAACCTGCCCCATGTCCAGTCGCCGCATCGATATAGTTCTTGGCCGTAGAAGCACATTGTCGCCAAACAAAACGTTTGAATACCGAGATCCTACTCATCTAGCAGTTAGTGCTGCCACAACGTGCTGGTGAATTCAAGTTGCATACAACACTGATTTCCCACGGCGGGTTGAAACCACTTCATCCGGCTTAATATTTCGTAATCAAGCGTAATTCATATATTTCTGAACCAGCATTGTCCCTGCAGTAATGGCTTCTGGGACAGAGTAGAACTGACAATGGGAAGGGGTGAGCGTCCTTTAAAGAAGGCTCACATGGGATACCCCGCCCGGAGGTTCCATCTTTCAGAATGGCTGGTTTCCAGCGTGTTATGAAGGCCTAAAATTGGGCGCCCAAGGCCTGATTGCCCAGGCATGCGGCACGGTTCGTATGTGGTGCGGCGTAGCAACAGCAACACTCGGGGTGGCCGAACATCGCTGTGGTTTTGACCCCGGCTGCGCCTTTGGATCTGGCGAGCCCTTGTCCAGTTGCAAAGAGTGTAGTGGTGGACACTTGGTCAAAGCAAAACAGCGATTGGCTCCACCATCCGCGCGTAATTTAGCGCTGATGTGATCCAATCAAGAGAGATTATTAGTTTGATCTCAAAATCTCCGTGATCGCGATCAAATACCAGAATGCCAGTCTTCGTCCCGACCCTTTTTATTGTCTGGTAGACGAGTCCGGCCAGCCCCAGACTTCTATCGTCTTTCGGCCATGCGTTTCAAGTTGCTGTATCTCTAACATTTTGAATATAAGTGTTTACTACTAAATTTAAGAATATTTCTAGCTAGTTTTTGAAAGCTTTTCTGCAAAAAGCTGTCTTGTTTGATACTTGTGTTTAAAGTATACTTGGTAGTATTAATTTAACTAGTTCTTGAGATATAATTAGTTATATCTGTTAAGTTTACTAAGTTAAGCTTTTGATCTGTAACTCTGCAATAATTTTTTTATAGTTTTTATTCTAGAAGCTGTTCTCACAATTACAGGATTTCAAAAAAATATATAGTTTGCTAGTTTCTTTAAAAAACTAGTATAGAATTTTATAGATGTGACTGGTTAAAGAAAGATTTAGTATATTAATATTTTTAAATCTTAGTAAAACTACTGAACTAGTTTAAATGAACTAGTAAGTAAGATAGAAAATAATATCAGAAGATCTTTTTAAGAAAGTAAGTTTAAATTTTAAAAGACTATAATCTGTTTATTATTTACAAAGATATTTCTTAAAATATAGTGTAGTGGAGATTCTGGTATCTTATTAGAACAAAGATTGTTCCAGTCTGAGATACAAACCATGTTAAAGTTACTATCTCTGAGTTATGTAAACCATCTGTAGTCTCTGCATCTTGCTTTTTAGCTTTATAGTTCTTTGCACTTTTACTGCACTTTCTTGTTTCTTATTATTAGTGTGATCATTAGTTAGGGAATGTGAGCATCTCTGATTTATAAAGAATATTACTGTTTCTCTCTAGAGCTGTCTGTATTAGTACAAAGCTTCTTTATACTGCTACTTCTTATGAATTTAGGTATTTATTAGGGTATGCCTTTTGGTGCTCTCACTACTTAGTTTAGTACTATCTCTACTATATTGTGATTTTTCATCTTT